TGGAGATGAACTCATAGATTCAGAAATTTCATTAATCAAACGACGATGCTGATGATTCATCATCACAGAAGCTCCACCCATCTGCTCGACATTTGATGTCAGGATGATATTGCAGAAATTTCCAAGTTTCCATGATAGACGCTAGTTGCTTTCTTTTTTTCCTTCATAGAACATGATTGTCAGTCGTCAACTTTTGTGCAGTTTTCGAGGAAATAGAATGACATGCTCTTCCAACTGAACTACAAATGTCTGACTTCCTATTCTTCCCACATTTGTGCTTATCCTTGATTCATGCCTGATCCCTGGGTCTCTCAAAGAAATAGCAAGTTCTTGCTCCATGGCCATCCTTCAGTAAGGAACGAAACATGTTTTTTGTTCTAACAAACCATCCCAAACACCAAGAAAAGCGTTATTTGCTCGAATCTGACGTACATCTGTTACAATTGTAGAACAGCGCTATCAATATACCCATGGAATTAAATCATTAAGAAACTTTTTCAGACCTTCTCATCTATGGCAGTAATTCAAATCCTTCATAGCATCCTAATCTAGCTATATTCTCTGTACTCTCCAAACTCAAATGTCAGAGTTCCAAGTACAGCTTTCTATTGGCCTGCTCCGGGGTCAGGGATGGTCCATAAAGGGTTTTCCAAGTTTTGTGCACTGTTTTGATTGATTTTTGTTTGTGAGATACAGCTTTAGTGCCGCAGATCGCGTAGCGAAAATATTAAGTGTTAAAATATTAATCACCGATAATAAATCATAATCATAGTCATAATCTGGTGGTCGAAAGTAACATCTTTATACATATACAGTAGCATTTATTTTTATGTGGAGAAGAACAGGGCGAGTTCCTATGAGGCATGCCTTTATATTCTTTCCCTTGTTTTGCGCTAGCGATGCTGTTGCTTTTTCATGATCTGTTTATTTATTTACTCATTTATTCGTCGGTCAATCACAGAAGGGCAATATATAGTAATTATAAAGTATTTAACATCCGATTGACATAGAATAAATTATCTGGGAATAGGGGGACACAGGAGGCTGCAGCACTACAGGGGCGGGTGCCATTGCACCTCTTTGATCTAAACACGAACCCCAGGAGCTGGCTCAGGGGTGCTTACGAAGGCTATCTACTGGTGCGCAAAGTGGTTGACGTTGGATGGAGCTATTTATATTATTAAGAACAGTCGGACGGGTGGTAGCTTGTGTATGTGTCTTTGTTTGATGTACTTGAAAATCCTGTCTCTTGTCAGCATTAGGTTGTTAACAGGCTGCGAGAAGACGCTCTCACATGATTCATTCTCATCATTCTCTCGAAAAGCATTGTTATTCAGCGTCCTGTACTTACGGTGCGCTAGTCTGTTCTCTGAGCGGGTGCCTATCGAATTCTCTGGAAGTGCACTTTTCAAAAGTTAACACGTAAGATAGAACTACCATTTTCGGAGGTGGTCATCGTTGCCAAGGTCAGCAGAAACGGTGCGATATTCAGCAAAAAACGATTGATCATCTGTTCGTGCAAGGTCTTCTGCTTCCAATGCTAACCTGTAGGTGAATCCTAGAGGTTAGAGGTGTTTCGACGTTTGTGATGTGGTCGGTGCTCACGGCTTCTTGAATAAATGTATTGACATTGCATTGCCGCGTGTGTTTTAACATTTCTTGTCGCTGGGCTGTTTGGAATACCTTGTTGAGCATTTGTTGTGCTTCTGTTTTCCAGTAAGCGAACCCTCTTGTTCGCTCACTGGCGAAGCCATTAGGACGACCACACCCTCGCTTATCTAAACGTTTACCATCTGAACGTAGACAACTGGAGGATGAGGCATATTGTAAGATAGGACGACTCAGGACGAGCATTTTTACTACGCTTGCAATAGCAATGAAATATTACAGCTTTCGCGCAGATCCTACCGCTGGTGAGTGCGCGCAGCATTATTTCGAAGCATTGGAGTGGAATTTGGAAATGCGAATTAATGCGACCTAGTAGCCTCTTAGCATATCAGTGCTTTTTTTCCTCTCACGCAAGCCTGGTACACATTAATTGACTTCGGATGAGAGAAATACCCGATTAGTCTAGGCGAGATTTCGTGTGAGATTTTACCGCGGATGGTGTGATAGAAGATGCATCTATGCCTCGCTCAAACTATAACAATTACATCAGAAAGAAAATGTTGGTGACAATGCAGTTGTCCGACTTCTGGCTGATGCTTGTTTTCCACATAGGGCCAGTTGTTCTCGATCTGACAACTCAGGACATGGTCCCAGCGACAATTGATTGTGCCCATGATGATATCCTGTTCGTTGAATTGTATAGGGAGAGTTGTTCGCATAAGTTGTCGTTGAACCTGGCCCTGGATGATTGCAGGTCGTCTTGTTCCATAGTCCGTGCAACTTCGCCAAGGGCATTACATTCTCAATCTTTTTATGGAAGATTTGCGATGCGGAAGCCTGCACCAGCTTAGGCACTAGGCGGTTTTCAAGCTAACATACAGTTGTAACGTCAGAAGAAGGCCCATAAGTCGAGTACCGCCGAAAAAGATCATGGAGTATAGAGAAGCCTATGATCTTCCCTAAATAAACACCTTCTTTTCAAAAACCCCTTAAGCCCTCCAAACTCTGTGGCTCTCGGCAAATGATCGCACAGTTCTGGTAGTCTGTCCCCAGGAGGAGAACTAAACGTCTGTCCTGTTAGGGTCATATTTATGGCGGCGCGTAATTCTAAACCCCGCGATAACGTCCGCGTTAAAACTTCACCCAGTAAAAATAGGTTTCGCCTTTTTGGTGATATTACTAGCAATTCCATGATTATTTGGATAATTTATTTTTTAGGTATGTAAAATAGAGGTGTGTAATACTGCTAGGCACAACGACACGTGTTTATGGTGCACGTGAAAAAAGAAGACATGTACCAGTGAGTTTTTTTTAGGTAATCATGCTGATTCCAGTAGGAATCTAGTATAGCTGAGTTATGACATTTTTTTCAAATTTATGCTTTTTTCTTCAAATTTTGATTTTTTCGAATTTATCCTTTTTTCCAAATTCCAGGTTCTATTTTTGTTATCACGTTTACATACTTTAAGCAGTGACCAAATATTTTTCAATACAGATAGTCAATCAAATTATTTTGATTAGTAGCTCTTTGAATTTTTTGGCAATGAATGTTTTTCCCGCTTTTTAGAATAGTTTTTTTAAAAATCTCATTCTTATCTTACAGTTTTTTTCAACAGGTTTGCTCGTATATTCTTACAATTTAGGTGTCCCGAATGTGATTATTTGAATTCGAATTCGGTTTGGGAAGCGAAGAAGCATTGCACCAGCCAGCACGGCCGAGGTGTTGAACCGATTAGTAATGAGAAAAGCACAAGACCCTTATATTGGTGAGTGATTTGGCGATTATTTTGCACTCGCTAGATAGGCTTAGACATGCGCCACGATGCCCAAGGGTCGTGAAGGCTTGATTAATCGCTAGGATATGTGAACTTTCTTATGTCTTCATTATGAATCTGCTCGTTGAATGGTTACGAGGCTACGGGCAGGGTCAACTCAGAGCGCTCAGCCCGATTTTCAAAGATAATTTACGATCCCCATACCGTGTCGAGGCGCTGCCTTCTTAGAGGGACGGTCTTGATACGGTCCGCCATCGCCGTCAACCTTAGGGATCCTCCGCCCATACGAACTTCCCACTCCAATCCTTCCTTTCTCCTCAACCGCCACCCCATAGCCATGGCTGTTTCTATGGTATTTGAATCTAAGATTAGTCGACACACTCTAAATTTTTCGTAGAACGAGAAGAACAAATATGTCTAATGGAACAGCAAATATTCTATTTTGTCTGTATCACACTTCTAATTTTCAGGATTACAACGTCGGGCGCTATCGCAATATACGGGGGGGCATTGTGGTGGCGATTTATTTATAACTGCGGAAAACATCTTTCTAGTGTTGAAACGGGACTACACCTTAGGCAGGGGAAACATACTCCAAGGTGCGTGAGCAATTCTCGTTTTCCCCGAAGTTCTTGCTGCCTCTTTGGCTTAGTCCCATGGAATGCCCCTGTATCTTGCGATAGCGCCTAACGTTGAATGCTTTAACCTTTTACGTGGCGGTTTATTTGAAACCTTGAGCTGTTTAAGCACTTCTGATTCCAACTTTTTATAGATGTGGAATAAACGATGTTTCCCGGATTGGAAGCAGAAACGACCGCAGTGGTGGTCAGCTGACGAGAATTCAACGCTGCATCACACAAATTCACACTCCACGAAGGAGAATAGGGAAACCAAAACGATAGACAACGACGATGTGACAGAGATGATTAGGGTGAGCACTGAAGTGTTTGATTATTCTGTTTATGTGCAATACTACTGTATTTTTACTAAGAAACCGACAAAAGTGACCCCTGTTGCCCTTTGAACGAGTGATATCACAAAACTGTGGCATTGTGGCTGGGAAGAAGGCTCTTCGATTAGTAGAATGCACTGTGCTCTCTAATTCCTTCCGGAGTGATGCATGCGATTCGGTCCAGAGGGGGGTGAAGGGTACTGGTTGTGTTTGCAAGTTAATGTTCGAATACCATTTGTTGTCCCATCAAGCTCCCATCTAAATCTTAACCCCAAAATTTGCCAGAATTTAGTCTGGAATAAAGCCCAAGGCATGGCTAGTCAAGTGTAGGCTCATCTCTGCAAATTCTGAGAGCTGTGAGTTTGATAAATGCCAAGGCTTAATCGTGGCTTGCTAAAATTGTGGAATTGTTCAATACCGCTGATGGCAAGGACTGGAAGGATGATGAAGACCTTCTGACAGCAGTCGTGATCAAAATCCGAATAATATAAAGATGGTGTACCTTGCGACAGGGCGCAACTAGCGCTTGAGAAAAGAAGGGTCCGGGGTAAGCTCCAAAAAGGCAATATTTGCGTCAGTTTTTGGGATCAAACTGCTAGAGGGATAACTGTGTGATTCAGTGAACGTCAAGGCAATAGTTCTGAATCGGTCCTGCATTTGTGCAAGGTTATGTGGACTATGAATATCTTGTACATTCAATATTTAGGTTATGAATGATTCAAATTATCAAGTCAATGTGCTTCAGGAAGCGATTCTTCGTCGGGAGCCTGGTGACTCAATAATTCGCGATGAAGATCGGGACGATTCCGAGCCGAGGACACCGGCTCCGGAAGGACTTCATGTGGACGATCGTACCTGCCATTTATGCTGGGAAGAGAGTCGGTAAGAAAAGGCTCGCTCTCTAAGTATTTTTTTTTCGTTCCAGGTCTATGTGATACCCACTCATTTCCAGTATCCCGGTCGACACAGTAGCGCAAAAACATCTGAAAAAACGTTTGTACGAGTGTCCTCTGTGTGGCGAGCGGTTTTGGCAGCTTATGAATGAGCGTACGGTGTACGGTTAGTTGAAACTATGGCATAAGGTCAGTTTATTTACGATGACACGTCCTGGTTACTATAAGATTAAGCCTAACGATATGTTAGGTACACCCTGATTGTCCTGACCGGCGGCAAGACCGCTTGCAATCATTAGAGCCGGATACGCAGAACGAAAGGTCAGGGACTCAGATCGATCGTGCTTTCGAGAATCGTCAATGAAAGATTGTCGAGCGAAGAAAGAAGCACATGTACAAAGAGAGCGAACACACTTGTAGACTATGTGGGGCACGGTGGGCCCAGAGAGTGCAATACACGTAAAGTACTTTAGAAGATACCTTATTCTTAGGTAGCGACAGTCCGATCGTCACACGGCACGGTATCTAGGATTAACGCGCGCGATTTTGGAAGCCCGTTGTGTATTTTGCGTTCTCGAATTACGAGGCGTTCAATAGGTAAGGCCGGATTACTTGTTTTCGTGGAAACGAATGACAAGGTACGAACTAGAAATATTTTTTTCAGAGTGAGAGTGCGCATATTATATGGTATGCCCAAAGGGTGGCAAGGAGGCTGGAGCCCGATTTGCACGAAATGAGTACAGTACGAGTACTCAACGCATATTATTATTGGAGGAATATTCGTAGCATGTATTAAATATAAAGATGTCATCTCGAAGTTAAAAGAGGGATATTGGAATATGTGGGTGGGGTGAATATCATACCCTCCTTTCAAAAAACGAAGAGCGTCGGGTGCAGACCATACACCACAAGTGACGACGGCCCCACAAAATGTAAATGTTTTCTGCCAATGAAATGATTAGCCTGTTGCAGTTGTATTCTATCAGTTGTCACTAATTACAACTATCATTTACCAAAAATCAGCTATCACTATGAACATGAACCACTACTAACAAATTCACTTTAAAGTTGTCGTCATTTGTGGTGTATGGTCTGCACTCGGCGCTCTTCTCGTCATGGTGACGAGACGAGGGATTATCGTGATTAGGCTGACCGAAACCAACCATTAGTTTGAGATGTAGTAGCACACGCTGGCGAATGGCCTCAAAAAAAACGATACCGGGTGCGTTATTGATGCTACACGGTGCGACGTAATGAAAGTATTATATAACGATGCCTCTCGGTGGGGAATAGAGTCAGGTCATCAGCAATCTCTAACAGCGGTCTCTTTGCTGTAGGGCCTTCATTTTGTTATATTGACCAATCGATGTGAGCTTTGGTCTGGCGGAAATTCGTGATCCTAGAGCACAAGCCGTCGCGGTATAGATCTTAAGGAAGAAAATCCTTGCGCGGGGAAGCAGGCCATTATTCACAGCGATTTGATGTATTACCGCAACTTGGAATGCTTAAAGAAGCGAAGCTAATGCCCTTCCTCGATCGCTGCGACAGCTGCCACTCCATCCAGCATACGTGGCTCTGCTCCTCTCGCGTACGACGTGCTCTCTCGCGTTTTCCCTCTCCTCGCAGCGCTGTGTCTCTCCGTCATACCACGGTTGACCTCACAAGGGAAATTTCAGTGTTTTCTATGATGCTTTTTGCTTTTTCTCCTTTTTCGCCGTTCCTCTTAGCAGAGCTTTTTCAATTCCCGGGCAAAATAGTGCACCAATTCGATCACCACCTGTGCCTTCAAGAAAGTATTCCATGTACCAGCAACGTTCTGCAGACCTATTCTAGCAGCCTAAAGTGTAAATGATTCCCATTGATGTCGATTTAATAGTAGCTCAACTTCAAAAACATCTGTTTTTATTTCCAGGAAAGAAATTGATCACCTGAACGAGGAATGTTTCCCTGGTTGGCAGCACCGTCGAAAACCATTTTGGTGGCTAGACAACGATGACAAGAAGTCTGAGGTAGGTACACGAGAATATCTTCCCTAAGTTCCTGAAGCTATTGACTAAGATCTTTGTAATGATCAGCAAGTGAATGTAACCAGTGTAAGATCGACGACCGTCTAGAATCGTAGGGTTTTTTGGCGACCAGTGCGGAATACTCCGGTTTAGCTCTCAGCGAACCTTAGCAAGCGTTCCTCATCTCAAACTTTGGAGTGCGCCACGTCTTGGACTCTCATTCAGGATTGTGTGTACGTTTTAGTGCGTTACTAGCCCATGCAAGGACTCACGGTAGTAATTCAATAATGGGATGGGTGAAAAAGTGGCGTGGGCGGTATTTGATCCATAAATTGTGCATGAGAAACCAACGCGTTTTGCCACTGCTCCTCTTCTGCAGATGTTTAATTCAGGATTTGTATGTATATAAGAAATGCCTGTGAATTTCAGATGAAACATGAAGAGCTCGAGATTGATGTTGACAGTTTCGGGAATATTTCGGATTGTGCCAAAGACAGCACCCCAAGTTCGACCGGTAATGATGAAGTGAGTTTTAATCCTTTAATGGTAACTGGTGCTGCGTACATCATTGCAGACTGGCTTCTTTTTTGTTTGAGCTACTCTGGGTAGCTCCATTTTGATCGAATGACTAGTGATTTTATGGTCATTGTACTTTTTTAGGAAGACTCGATTTACGATGAATCATTGGACCATCAGAACAAGGACCACGTAGGTCAACCCATGAAGCGCGTCAGCGAGTGGACATGTCGGGTTAGTCACTTTTTGCCAATTCTGCAGACGTACGAAGGCTCCAAACGCCCTGGCGCCTTAAAGCAACAGTCCAGGCAGGGTTCCGAGCATTAGTCGCTAATGGGGTGGGGAGAAGCACTGGTCCTAGTTAAACATATCTGAAAGGGAACTGAACATGAACTCACCTTTGGAAGCCTGTAGGAAGGGCGACGAACTACAGCAGATGGGCGGAGGCGGGACTGGGATGGGCGGGAGCGGGCATGGCCGCTGTCTCCCAGCCGTGATGATGGCTTGGGCCAGGTGCGAAGACGTTGCGGGACCAGTTTTGAGCAATCAAGCCCCATCCTTGAATAGTTTTGGTTTCATTCTGCATTCTTCACAGCCAAGATGTATCGATACTATCACCAGAACGGCGACCGCCTGCAGACTCGCTCACAGTTCTTTGCGTCGTACCTTTCTTCAAAAACGATTGGTGCTTTAAAGCACCGTAAATGGCGCATTGTTGTTATCCTTCCTCATATTACCCGAATGAAATCAGCTCTACTTTTGCAGTTATGTCTGAAGGAGTTCAAGCCCACATCGAATTTTCTCCGACACGTCGCCAAAGATCATCTTGACATGCCGCTGTTTCAATGTGCGATGTGTGAATGGGGAGCAGCAGACGCCTACGAGGTGAAAGCGCACATGGTCAAGGTGAGGAACTATGCTTGGCAGAAATATGGAAGGAATGAGGATGCGGGTGCCTCAAAGGCTGATGTCGCTAGACGTTTCCATTGTATTTTCATAGAGTGGCGAAGTCCGACACCGGCCTAAGCAATTCGAGAAGTACGAGAGTTGCGCCAACGTCTGCAGTCAAATTGGCTGGTTCGCATCGTCGAAAGCGCTGGCGCAACGCTGTATGGTCGATGCCAGACTTGGTGAATCGCTCGTATCAGCGATTAGCTAGCGATTCGCAAAGTCCGACATCGGTCTGCTCCTCGGATTGCTAAGACCGCTGTCAGACTTTGCAACTCCGCGGATACGCAAAGTCTGACACCGGCCCTCCACTGATGACCGTCCGTTGGGTCAGATTGAACGGGGGCAGGGACCGAGTTTGTCGTTAGTCCATAGCTAATACGCAACTCGTTCGTTCAATTGTGAACGATAAGCAATCCTTCTGATAGATTCTCTTCAGTCGAAAATGAAGTCCTCCCGCTGAAAAAGTCGTTAATTTATTTTCCACTAATTTTTGTGACTACTTGTTTTTTAAGACGCATAATAACGCGGATTCGGATCCAATCTCAAATCTCGAACTGAACCCAGATCATGTTCAGCAGCGATTTTCTGAGTGTTTCCCATCAAGAAAAATGAAGGTCAGTATTGAAGTGTTAGCCAATTATTTTTGATTCTATTTTTTCATATTTTGTATTTTTAAATCCCGACTTTGAGAAAATTGGTGTATTTTGAATCTGTTATAATTTTGTCTTAACAAATCATGTGCGTTTCAGCAGGGCTTATTGACAACGGAAAGAATTAACTATGCGTCCAGTGATGAAACAAAGTCACATGTCAGAGTGTTCAAGAGATGAAAACCGAAGATCGTCAGGTGCCTGCGAAATTACCACAACTACGATACAAAATCGATATATTGATTTTTCCAGATCCATGTTTATCGACATCATCTGAAGGAGCCACGCCTTTACGAGTGTCCACTTTGTGATTTCTCTCATCATGCCTGTTCTAGTGATGTCCGAGCTCATATTAAGTATTTCACATGTCCAATAATGCGAACGGACATCATATTTTCCTTCTAAACGTATTTGAACTGTATACTGTAGGTCATATCGAATGGCTTATATCTTTTCTTCAAGGTCACGCCATTCGATGATAACGCGATGTAATGCCAAGAGCGAATCTACTGCAGCACTCGCAGCAAATTGCTGAATGGAATGATCGCTGCTTCCCAGGCTGGATTAATCGGAAGTTACCGGCCAGCGTTATGGAGGACTTCAACAGGTCCGTGTGATTATTGGAACAGTGAATTGCAGCTTTAGTGGGTGCTAACGTAGTTGGGAGCGGGCAGTTTATGGTACGCATTTCCGGCTGTCTGCGCCCTCTCACCGAGATACTATTGACAAAAGTGCGAAACGATTATTCCGTGAGCAAGGGGCCATTCGGGGGCGAGGCCGAACATTTGCTTATGGTGGGATAAACTTGAAGGGAGAGTGGAGTTTACAATTCCAAATGAGATGTATAGACGATCGAGGGCAGGCGTCGCACTTAGCCCCGGTAGCATCCAGTAGCGCAAAATCATTTCCGCCAATAAATTAACTACAGTCGATGATCAGCGGGATGACAGGTGATACAGGTGATTAACTACAGGAAAAAAATCATAAAACCATGTTGTGTCGCGGCGCATTAAGTGCAAAAAGCGTAAATCCTTTCGCTGAATCTTTATGGGGGTACAAATAAGGTTTGTTTAATGCGCCAGTCGTTCAATTTGGCTTCAATCTGATGTGACTCTAATCTTGGAACTGGCTTAATCTTTGTTGATGCCATTTGGCGTCCTGTTGGGGATGAGTGACTCTCTTGTGTGAAGTTCCTTGCAAAAAATGGGCCTAAACTTTGCCCCCTCCCCTCCAATCCATTTTTTGCCACACAACGCGTGGCTTGCCCATTTCCCCCTCTCCCCTCCCCTCCTACTTCTCTCCCCTTCTTGGCTCACGGGTATAGGTCCGCAATGCGAAATCACGAAGCAGTGGCCCCAGCGGTTCCCGCTGCTCTTCATGGGTTATGGTCCTTTCCTCGTAGGAAGTCTGACCTTATGTGTGAGATATAATTAGTTCAGAGGAAAAACTGTGCCGCTACTGTAGCACAATGGAGCCAAATAGAGATTGACAATGCCATGCTCATGACCAGGCGCTGAATATTTCTATGGGTTGAGCTTTGAAAAATATTCTTGTTTGTGCTACTCCATAGCAGATCTGTTACGGACTGTTGAGTCAAGTGGTGCCGATTTATTAATACCTGCGCTGCGAAATGGGTTTTTAGATGTCGCCTCTGTGACGAAGATGTGCGTCAGACGTCACGACATATTGCCGAGGCGCATCTGATGATTCAATTACATCAGTGTCCGTTGTGTGAATACGGCGCGCCTGAGTCCCGTCTCGTCAAACGACATCTTCGGAATAATCACGACGAATCGGTTGGAATCATTATTTAGATCTCAAATATTCTATTCTACAGTTTTTTTTCAGTTTGTACCCTTTCTTTCGCTGTCTTTGCGCAAGTCTAATCGGTGGCATTTGTTCAGGAAATGGAACCGATAGCAAACGTGGTGGCTAGACGAGCGGACTTCTCGGCTCTGCACGACAAATGCTTCCCCGGTCGACCAAAGCGTCTTTCGAACATCACAATTTCAGGTATAGATTTTCTAATCCCCATTAGTAAGTAATCTGAGTCCCTTGTACAACATTTGGAGCTGAGATGGCGCAGTGAAAAGGCACCACGCGCATGGTCCGGGAGCCAAATCTCAACTCAGATCTTGCCCAGGCTAACCATCCATCTCTCTGGGTTTTGTTAGTAGTTGAAGGATTTGTCCAAAGTAATAAAAACACGGACTTGTACATCGGCATTGGCGTCGGCCTCGCAAGCTCCATAGGCCATACCGCATTCATGTGTACCACGATTCTGAATAGAAGTAGAATGCATGGCTCATCCCAAAAGGGAGAGATCGACGCCGCAAGCTTCATCCTTCATATAACAATACGATGAGGGTGGAGTCACCGGCCATCGATGTCATCAGTCCTTGATGTGTGGACCATCACCATGTTCGACCTAGCACAATGCCTAGAGCGCATCTCGTCCCAACAAGCTCTAAC